TCGCCTGTCCTGTCTGGTTTGCTCACCTGGGCTCCGGGCGGCCGGATGGGGCTGGGCACCTCCTGGACCCCAGCGGCTGTGGCGCAGGGTGTGTTTGTGCCCAGGGACCAGGGCTGCAGGGCCGTGTTCATCTTCTGCTGCCTGGGGGCTCCTCCGTGGGGGGCTTCTTAAGGGCCTGGCCCCTCAGGATCTGGGGGCACAGCTGTCAGGGCTGGAGGCCTCTCTCCATCTTCACCTGCTTGTACTTTGCCAGGGCCTTAATAAATCCTGGAGCACAGACCAGTCCGGCACCATATTCCCCAGGCATTGCCTGGGGCTCGGGGGTAGCCCCTGTCCCCCCCAGGCAGAGCAGAGCCCCCCGGCATGTCCCTACGGCTCCAGCACCCTTGGCTCCATGCCACCTCGGGGCGATGTCCCAGGCCCAGGGAAGGGTGCTGGGCCCTGGCATTCAGGGTGGCCTTCTCCCTTCTCTCCTGCTCCACGTGTCAGGGGCTTGAAGCCCCGACAGAGACGCTGAGTTTGGGGGTTGTGTCCAACTGCACCAGTGCTCGTGCTGGGACTCAGCCCCACCGGGTCCTGGCTGGAGGCTCTTGCCCCGTGCTCACGCTGCCTTGTTGGGGGGCAGGTGGGAATTTACCCCCTGCTCAGCCTGGCCTGGCCAGGGGGTTTCCCCTACCTCTGCAGTGGGGGCACAGCCTGGGCCTGGGCTCTCTCTAGCACCTACCAACTCCCCTGGCGGCAGCAGCAGGACATTGGTGGCCGCGGCCCCCCTGTATCCTGGGGGCGATGCCCGGGGCTGTGTCGGGGTGACAGTCTCGTGCGGCTCCGAAGTCGCACGCAGGGCTTGTCTGGGCTGGTTTGGACAGGGCTGATCCTGCCTCGGGCTGGATGTGACCCCGCACTCCCTGCCGGCCCCATGGCACTGGGGCTCTGGGGTTTCTCTGGATTCTTGGCAACGAGGCTGGCTGGCTGGCAGCACCTGCCCCAGCTCCAGCTCCGCGCAGTAGCCTGGCTGCGGGTTGAGGCGCTGGGTACGCTCACTGCACCAGCACCAGCGCTGCACAGCCATAATTGGACTGGACGTCTTGTCATCCCCGATCTCCCCCACGCTGCGCTGCTGCAGCCCTCGGCGCGGAGCCTGACCTGCCTGCGCTACGGAGGATGAGGAGACACCAGCCCTGCTGGGGGCGGGGGGAGGCCAGGCTGGTTAGACGACTGTCAGAGACCGAGACTGTCCCTCCCATCAGAACGACGTTAATGATCCCCCCCCCCCACCTGCAGTCTCTGGGACTCACAGAGCTCCATCCACAGCTCTGCCTAGGGAGGTGCTGCTGGGCAGGGCTCTCCTGGCCTGCTGGGGCCTGGCTTGGGGGTGGCGTGCCTGGAGAGCAGGGTCCTGGCCAGCTCCGGAGTGGGCCTGCTCAGGTAGATCCCCCCAGCCCCTCCGTGAAGGATCAGGGCAGAGGCTCCAGTCCTGGTGCTCCATGCACTGCAGCCCTGGAGCACCCTCCAGAGCCGGGGACGCTGCATGCACCAACCCCAGAGAGGAGCAAAGCAGATTTCCCTGCTCGCAGCCGTGTCCCAAGGGGAGCTTGGCTGCAGGCTGCCACCCGTTCCATCCCTGCCTCTGGGCTGCAGGCTCTGGAGCAGACGCGGGGAGCAGGGGGAGCTGGGCTTTATGCCTGCCAGCCAACACGTGGCCTGGGTCAGTGACTGCCAGTGACCCGTGCTGGCCTGTGGCTCCAAGCTGCCCGTCACTGGCCATCGGTGTGACCAACCTGACCTCACAGGGCTGGCACGGCTGCCGGTTCTGGGGGTATGCGTGTGCATCTCTCCACCAGCTAGCACAGACCTCAGGTGACTCCTGACAGCAGGATGGGAAGGGGGGAAGCTCGCAGGGGGTCAGGGGGCAGGGCCTGGGCCAGAGGCTGCAGGGCACAGCGAGGGCTGAGCCAAGCCCAGGGCAGGCCCCAGAACCAGGCCTGGGTGCAGTCAGCTGCTGGAGGGGTCCAGCCCCCAGCACATGCCCTCATGGCGCCAGGGGACCGGAGGGGCTCACTCCGGGCTTCCAGGCCTGGTAGCATGAGGGGTGTCTGCTCCTCCATCTGCACGAGCCCAGTGCCAGCTGGGCACTGCCCGGGGGTACCGGGGGTGCGGAGGCAGTGAGGCGTGCTGCGGCTGCAACTGTGGCTGCATCTCAGTGGTGCTGGCCCCTGGGGCCTGCTATTCGTTTACCGCTCTCCATAATGCGCCTGAATAATTCAGGCAGCCCCGGCTAAATCATCCGTGCTGCCTTAGGTGCCAGTCACGGCCAGCGCCCGGCACCTCCTCCCCACACTGCCCCTGCTCCCAGCCTCGCTGCTCCCGCTGTGCCCCGGCCCCCTGCTTCCCACATCCTTGGCCCTGGGTGACGTGGGGGGGTCCCTGGCCCAGCCCCTCCCTGCAGGACCCTGGGGAGGGTCACTGAAGCATGGCTCTGCACTGGGAGCTTTCTTACCCTGTGTGGCTTGTCTGCCATTGTCTGTGAGCACATGCAAGCGTGCACGTGTACAAGTGTCTGTGCTTGGCTGGCATGCAAGGACACGCGTGCTCTTATGCCTTCCCATAGTGACTGCGGGGCAGCCTCTCTGCACGGGTCAGCTGCTCCCTTGCCTGTGTAGCCCAGGCCGCATGCAGTGCAGCGGTGACGTATGCAGCAGTGATGCTTGTGGCAGTGATGTATGCAGTGGTGAGGCAGCAGTGATGCGTGCCATGATGCCATGTGCAGCAGATGCGTGTGAGAGTGATACATACCCTGGTGATGCATGCTGTGATGCAGTGGTGATGCATGTAGCAGCAGTGCATGTAGCAGTGATGCATGCCAGTAACACGGTCAGTGGGGTTGTATCCTGCCATGATGCGCGCTGTGCCCCGGGTCCTGCTCTTGGCCCCAGCGCATACGGGTGGGGGGGAGGCAGGCAGGGGTCGGTGCTGGGGCAGGGGGCAGCAACCCTGGGGCTGCCCTGCACCTCGGTGTTGCCAGCCCCACACAGCTTCTTCACCGTCCAGGGCTCAGGGCATTTTGAGGGCAATTGCACATTGCCTCTCCAGAGGCTGCCAGGCTGGGGGCTCAGCACCATCGCAGCTCCCAGCAGGATCAGGCCACTCCCACCCACGTCTGCAGCCCTCCCACCTTCCCCGAGTGATGGCAGGATCAGGCCCTGTGCTCTTGGCAGGGGGCCGTGGCGCTATGCCTCGCTGTCACCTCCTGTCCTGGGCCCCCCAGGCCAGCACGCGCAGGGCGGGGGCAGCGCTGCTCCCCGTGGAGACGGCCGATGGAGCATATTGACCCGTGTGGGGGCAGGGACACGCGCGCCCGTGGATCGATGGGAAGATGCAAGATGCTCTCCAGGCCCAGCGTTGGGGCCGCTTCAGGACACGCTGAGGCCGCTGGGGGGGTCGCCCAGGCTGGGTCCTGTTGGTCCGTAGCCAGGCCTAACCCATAGCCATGGGGCAGGGCTGAGTGCCCAGCTCCCCATGCAGAGGGGCAGGCGGGGGCTTGACTCCCCCCTGCTCTGTCCTGCCTGGAGGCCACGGGCAGCAGGCTCAGGTGCTGCGGGGGGCACAGCTGCCGGGAACAAGTGGCGGCTGCAGGTTGGAGGTCACAGTTGGTCACCGATAGCATCCTGGTGGGACGCAGACTCCGGCTGGGGGGCAGATGACAGCCCCCACACCACCTCTGTGACTGCATCCTGGGTGCACGGGCAGCAGCCCGGGAAGGAGCTCTGTGCTACGTGGGGGCCAGTGGGCTGGCAGGGGGTGCGGTGCCACCGTGCAGGGCTGGCGAGCACCCAGGGGCTTTGGCCAGCCGGGCTGCGAGCACTGGGATCTGCCAGGGAGCCTTCCCGGGCTCATGGGCACTCGCTGGGGCACGGTCGGGCTCCACCACGCGTGTCCGGTACGGCAGGCGCGTGGGGCACTGCTCCAGAGCAGGGGCTGCTCAGTGCCCGTGGTCCCGGTCCGTGGGCGCCAGGGCTGGTGGTTTCAGGGTCCCCCTGCACTTCTCCAACCCCCGCGGACCGCACAGCAGCTGCCCCCCTCGGGGTCGGGGTCGGGGTCGGGGGCTGCAGCGGGCTCGGCCGGGGCGCAGGCGCGGGTCCTTG